TTGACCTAGCTGTGTTCGGTTGGTAATTTCATTGGATATTACCGTATTACTATAAGGACGATTTCGCTTTAAAGTATACTTTTTAGGCTTTCTAACGAAAGATCACAGGCTCAAAACGTTAACCTAAAGGCTCCATTCCGATTATTTTTCAATAGAACATTGAATTTGAAATGTTACAATCACTCCTCTACTTTAACTTGACTTTAAACTAACACAAGTATTTTTCTCAATAGTACCCAGGTGCTCTACCTTATGCCAATGGAAAAATCTACGGTTCTAGTTTACAACCCAACAAACGGCACGTCATTTTGAGTTTTGTAAATGGAGTTCTAGTCATTTTCGTGTAAGGTGTCCATGCTGCCTGAACTACACGAATTTCATTTTCAGCTTCTCTATAAGTATATAATTCCATCCAAACCCACCCAAATTTACTCTAAAGTTTTTACCCATAAATTTCAGAATATATATAACATCAAAGTATTTGTTAAGAACAATTAGAATGGACAAAATCCGTTAAATTATCCATACCTGCTTCAGAACATCAAAACTCATACATAAATTGATGTCTAGTTGCAACACTACCCCAAAACCCTTGACTACGTTATCATCAATATTGTTCACGGTAGCTTGTTACCTTACAACACAAATATATTAAGGTATACCCACAACTTAAAGTCAAGTTCAATTATGACTCGGCAAGAACAAAAATTTCTTACCTAATATAAGGAACTTTGATCTCTAGTTCAATCCCAACTATGATTCTTGAAGATTTCCACAACACCAAAGCCAAGTGATTATAATTCAAAGTGGAAAGATGAATTAAGAGGAAAAAAGACATCTTCTTTTATAACAGTGAATAAAACGGGGGAGATATTAGTGGCAAGAAGGTGAAGTAGCTCACTAGGTGTCAACAAAAGTTTGAATAAGAATATTCTATTACCTTAGCAAATGCCACCAAGCTTCCTAAAAGTGAAGGCTGTCACTTAACCCAATTGTCACGAGTGCTATTATTATTTTGATTTCCCACTCCATAAATTTTTAAATATCCCTCTAATGACTGTTATGGTTTCGGGTAAAATTAATAATTTAACCCCACAAAGTTTTGTTGCAAAATTACATTTGACATGCTACTAATTTTTTTTTGTCTTTCTTTTTATCATCATCAGCATTATTATTATTTAAAATGCTATGTATGCATGATGGGTCTCAGAATCACTATGTCATCCACATATACAATGAGGACTATAATCTTGTCATCAAGCTATCTAATGTGTTATAGAAAATAAGTATATAATTTGATTCTATTAAATTGTATCAAGTCTAATTTATGCAATAACAAAATTGAGCTTATATCTATATACTCTTATATGCAACTTAATCAAAATAGAAAATAAGCAAAATCAGTACACTCGCAGTGACACAAATTTGCATGAACAATAAAATAAGAAAATCAGAATATTCAATCCGAGTCTTGTGAAACACAACATCCTTAAGACAGATTTACTTTCTCTCATGCATATAATGTTTGTCACTTTAATTTATCAAAGTGTGAGATTCATATTGAGTCAATAAGCTCGGTGAGTTGAAAGACGATGTTATTTTTATGGTGGAAATTAATTATTAAAGGAAACCACGTCCTAATATTTAAATAGGTTGATGATTTTCTTTTGAGGAAGCTCATAAGTTTTATCCATGTCAAACCCTACAAGTGAATTTAATTATCCGACATAACAAATAAGTTAAGTGGTAAGGTCTCAAGGAATAAAAGAAATCAATTAAATATAATTGTCAATAATTTATTTGATTGATGAACATCTGTAATCTTAAACGCGGGGAGATTATTAAGCTTATAATAATAAGAAGGTCGAATATAATTTTGAGATAAGGCTCAGGAGATCAATAATAAGTTTTTAGTGGACTGATTTATTATTAATGAATTGTAGGATATTTGTTATAAGTTAAACATAGGAATCCTAAGCCCATTGGAAACCTGACCTTTATTTCTCCTTAGGGTTTCTATCTTAGCCTATATATAGACGTCAAGGCTCTCTAATTAAGCATATATTCTTTACTCACGTGTTTTAGAGAGGTTGAAAGGGAGAGTAGGATTTCGGAGATTTTGGCAACTCACACTGCATCCAAATTCTGATGTTGGGGAATATACGACAGAAGGCTGCGAGGTTTGTTGAGTAGTCTTCTGTATTCATTGTTAGGTTGTGTGTCTGTGCTAAGATGAGATCAATCTCGAGCGATCTCAAAGGTAAACCCTAATTCCGCCTAGTAGAGTTTTAAATGAAAATTTTTAGTATTTGATACATACGTGCTACCAATGGTTATTGAGATTTATGTTCCAACACTCGAAATCGGAGGTGGGACGCCCTCAAATGCCGTGTCGATTTGGTACCCCGTTGGTATAATGTTCATAAATTACCTACCCAAGAAAGACACAAGAATTTGATAAAATTGTAATTAGATGGGCAGCGTCAATGGTGAAGGCTTGAAATGTTTGATTCATGTCATGACATTGTATCACGTGTCATGCACGGGAACTTGGGAGGGGGTTCGGTGTTAGACATGCATTCATGAACATTACTCATATTTGGCATGTTTGGTAGCATTCATATGTTACTTGGGATATATGCTTAGTGTGTTTTGATGCATATTCATATCATATGCCAGATATTCTCTATAGGAGATACCCTTTCAAGCTTTAGCTCATCCCATGTGGGAGCATTTTTTATATATTGGACTAGCTTTCGCTGAAGGCCCTCCTATGGGCCCGCTTTAATGACAAAGCCGAGTTGTGGTTCTTGATTTGGAGTTTTGTAGTCCCTTGTATGCATCGATATTTTGGCCTTGTATAGATCTAAGTACAAAACTTGCATTTTGTTAAAGGCTTGTAATGAGACATAATATATGGATATTTATTCTTTTATGAATGAATGTTGTATGATAATGGTCGTGAATGTTGGTATTCAATAATATATTGATTGAATGTTGATGTTGAGACCCGGTGTGGTCAATGATTAGGTTTGCAGAGGTTGTATATTGGGTAGAACTTCCCGTACAAAAGAGACTCTGCCCAATTTTCATTAAACTATATGCTGTCCACTGCAGGTTACGAGATGTAGTTTATGATGAATTTCGAGAACTTTGATAAGTTAGATAAGAGAGAAAGAAGAATTAGGATAAAAGAATAACATATATGTTACATAACTATACCTAACATATATATATAGTCACAGAGTACAAAGTACTAAACTAACCTTAGTCTAGAAATGATGCATAACTTAGCAACAACGATATCTGTAAACCAAATGACCATCAACACAATGCACCCAAGTTTCTAGGTCATACCAATACCAATAACAATCACATTCACCATCCACAGTCCAAAAGTTGAATGTCATATACATACACATTATATAAATATTCATCATAATTTTTATTGAAATATCATAGCCATAATCCATAAAGTAATATCATATTCGACAGAAAAAACATGATTACCATTAAAAGCCTAATTTATTTCTCATTCGTAATGCAACAAAAATATAAATCTTTGGTATAATCAACATAATTTTTACCATGATCTCCCAAATAATATATCATGTATCACTGAAAAAGAATTATGAAAGAAATTCTTTCTCTCATAGGAAAAATACCTATCGACTAGAAAATGGTGTATGTGAACCCAGGATCTTGAAAAACCCTATCTGGCCCTCTCGACTCTTTCTTTTATCTCTCTGAAACGAATATTTTTGAGATGCTTGGAATAGTTGTTTAGATGCAGTAGAGGGAAGAGGAAAGGGGAATTTATACCTAGGGTATGAATAGCAAAGTTGGTGAAACAAATAATAATGCTAACCATCTTACTGAAGCTCCAAGTCGGCCGACTGGCCAACAGCTCTGTCCCAATATTCCTCAGCTTGGGTCATGGGAGTCACAAGCAAGTCAACCAACAATCCTTTCTGCCAAATTTTCTTCTAAGCCTCCCAGTTCCAAAAAAAAAAAAAATTCTAAGCCTCAAAAGCTGGATCAACCTCCAGATCCGCCTCAATCTCATAGTCTCGTGCTCACCTAAGTCAGTATCAACCTCCATATGCAAATGTTAAGGAATGGGTGAGTAAAATTAGCTCCTCAGGAAAACTTTTCCACAGGTTAACAAGGTTTAGAAAAAAAAAATAAGGTAGGTCTCAATTTACAAAATAATTTTATAACTTTTGAAGTAAAACATGTGTTATTTAATAATGATCTCAAGTTTTGATGCATAAGTTGAAAATCCAAAATCGAGTGGAATCATTCAAAAAAAAACAACAATTCTCATTAAGAATATCTCTTGTAAGCATGATGATTAACATGAACTCACACCAAATATAATTGTCCCTCCCACACACACACACACAAATCCTCCTATCAATCCCTGTTGGGCCGCAATGTTTTAGGAAGCATATATACTGACACATCAGTATTTAACGATTGTTTCTTAGGAATGGAATACTAACACTCAGTCTCAATCCATGTGAACAAATAGTGAAAATTTTTGAAACATTGCAAAGAACCAAGCAATTCCACCACGAGTTATAGGGAGCCTTCAAACCCCTTGATATAAGAAACTCATCTAAGCACCATGCAATATAAGTTTGAGCGCATCATCACACCCACCCACACAAGAGATAATATCCATACTTTCAAAAAAATTCACACATACAACAAATAATAGTTCCATAATTTCTCAAAAGAGAAGAAACTCCAAGAAAGCATGTAAGAGATTACCAAGAAACATTATCTATTACCAACAATTGTGTACAAGCAGCATCACAGTACACCTATTTCCCTACATGTCAAATTTTTTTGTCGAAAACTAATGTAAATAATCAACAGAAACCTAAACAAGGTTCCTACATGGTATTATTCTTTATTTCTATTAAAGCTCTCAGGCCTCGGCAGAAAAAAAAAGGTACAAGGAAAAAGAAAAACGTACTAAGAAATTTTGGATCCTAACATCTCAGATTATCCCCGGGAGAAACACCAAGTTGGCTACAATAGTCTGTGTAATATGCAACACGGGCATTTACAGTATCAGGATTTGCACCATCACATTCAAGTCGGCCATTAATGGCGCGAATGGTTTCTCCAAACCCTTGGCCAGAAGTTATGATGGTGTGAACTCTATTCATCCAAAACCACAAGGCGGCCTTGAAGGACACAAGGCTGTCTGTGGCGACGATCTCAGGATTGTTTAGTCCATCGAACCCTATGCTCCTTCCGGCTGGCCCATAGTTGTAATTCCATGATAGTTGAAGTGGACCTCGTCCATAGTAACCCTTGTTAGGTGCACAGGGATACTGTGTATTAGACTCGTCGCAATAGTCCTTAGAAGGACCATCTATCTCCTCTATATAGCAAAAGTCTGCAGAAAAAGAATGGCTTATTACAGTTCTGCCTTATTTAATTTCACCGTAGAAAAGTTCTATTAACAATAAAGGCTATGGTGCATGAGTATGCACATACATAGTGCAAGGAGATGGCAAAAACAATGCACCCGGAAACCTACATTTTCTTCGTGTAGTGGACATTACATGAATGGAAGCATTCATGACAACATAAAATATTTGTGCACGAGTTCATCGACTCTTGAAAATGGAAAGATTTTCTACTACCCACTACAAGCGGAAGCTTTTTGTAATGGGTACGATCTATTCAAGCACAAACTTGCATAGATGTAAAAAAATTTATTTTGGTTCCTCTCAATTTCATTTTTCACCCTTTTCAGTCTAGATCACTTATAACCGTTGAATTCATTGGGTCCTACTAGCGTCAGTGGGGATGGGTCCATAGTTACAAACCCAGGACTAAAATCCAATATGCGAGAAATTTAAAATTGAAAGGATAAATATGAGAAATAATGTGTGAGTGGGCCGTGGGTGTGTGTAAATGTGCTGGTGAGTGTAAATGTGCAGCAAGCAATATGTTGGACAGGCAATATGTTAGAGATATTAAAATCTTACGTCCAGTCTCATGAGTGGCATGAGCAAAGAAAGCTGCGATCTCACGCTTAGAATCATCAATGGAACCAACCCTGCCAAATTGTGAATATGAATTCAGGGCTTCCAGAAATACCGCTCGTGTGTAGAAGCCTTTCCCGGCGCAGCCGGAGCCAGCTTGATTAGCAATCCCATTAAAGAAAGCATCTGTCACGATATCAGCAACTGAAACATCATTAGTACTGGGTGGTGCAAAACAAGGGCCCTCCTGGCACCCTGCGCCACAATAGTCATTTCCAGTGCCACAATAACCATATTGGCTACAGCACAGGTCTGCAGCACAACCGCAGTTCTGACCCACAGCCAATGACGGCAGTGCCCCCGCGAGAAGGCCGGCGAGAAAAAGTGTTAGAAAATTCTTTCTTATACTAGAGGCCATGGTTGTCTTAGTGCAAGGTGTAGAAAACAGAGTTTTTTGTGCTTTGAAAACATGGTCCAGAGGAGTTATATATATAAATGCAAAGGATACCGGCAGTGTGGAGTTCAACGTTGCGCAATCAATTTTCCACGGAAAGCGTGTAGGTGGATTTGGTTGTGAATTGACTTTGTCTGGCCAATAAACAAAACTAGGTTGATTTTTCCTTCCTGAACAGGTTAAAGGAAAAGAAATAAAAATAAAGGACGAGTATGTTTCTAGTCCACTTAAAATAAGCAGCCGAGTGGACCACCATTAATTCGGTGGGACATCGGAGGTTTAGAATGTAGTTATTATCATTTATCCGGGCCAACTTAAAGATGCGACAAATATTATAGGGATTTTATTTAAAAACTTAATATTTTCATGATAAATAAGGTTCATTTTAAATTTAATGATTGTATTGAATTACATCATTAGATTTTGTCCAAAAATTAAGTTCAAATAGCATTTTTTAAGACATAATACACTCAACTAACATGCAAGACAAAATGATTAGATTATTGTCAATTGAGATAACAAAATCGTTTTATCAATATAGTAAAAAGAATCTGGTCTATATATATATATAGTGGAAAGAAAAAAAATAATTTTTTAAAATTTTTTTTAGTCTGATAGTATATAAATCTTTGTATAATTAGAACACTTTGTACTTGAATTGCTAGCATATCTAGATTGAGTGAACTTTTAGGTATTAGACCTGGGTTGGTTTGTGTTATGACATGGAACACAATAAGTTAAATTGGTCAGATTATAATTGGCTAGTTTTTTATATAAATCATAAATAGTATGACCTTAATACAACATGACTTTCTCAATAATATCATGAAGAGTTTTACATGTACAGATCTTACTTTCTCAATAATATCACGAAGAGTTTCACATTTGTATCTATATTTGTAAGCAAAAGTTAGTAAACTTGTGAATACAAGTACTTTTTTTTTTTTTTTTTTGGAATTTTGTATGCAAGTACTTAAGACATGGTAATACCACGAAACATTAATAGTTGATGCCCGCTGAAAAGGGCCAGTTTATCATCTAGTCAACTCGGGATTGAATTGAGCAATAGAGGATTGACTCAGTAATAGATATCTTTCTCACTTTGTGATTCACTTATATATAAGGTTGAGTCTCACGACTCTTTCTCCAATTCTTATTGCCAAAAACTTGGTACCGAGTTCAGTTAAAAAAAAAATACTTGGAATTTTGTTTTAATCTCTTTAATATATTAATTTTTTTATTTTTCAAAAACATGATGGAATTGAAACCTTGACATCCAGCTTATTCGAGTTCTGGAAGGTATTAAAAGTAATTCCCATCATTAGAATGACTGGGATGCTTCGCAGCCTGTCACCGTGCCCTGAGAAGACCGTTTGCATTGTTAATTAGAAGCCCAAAGAAGACTATATAATCTCTAGATTGGGAGACCAACCATTGATAAAGAACCGTAGAACAAGCATGCAGGAAGAAGAGTTTCGAGTGGACCTTGTTATCATATCCTGTGTAGTAGTCCGGATGCACTAAATATATTTTCAAAGAGTGGACCCTGTAAACAAATTTAGTCAAGTCATTCATCCTATCCCTTCATCTAGAACTTATGTGTCATCTTTAAAACTCAACGCGAATATGTCAACGATGACTTGGGTTGAGTTGGTCATAACTCAGAATAATGAGAATTTTTTCTTTTTTTTTTTTAAGTGAGAGAGGAGGGGAGATGTCTGTATGTATTATATAGCTTCAGTAAATGGGATATTTTATGACTCAGATAAAGTCATTCTAAAATAGATTTGAACATTCCTGATTTTTAAAAGTGATGATGAAAATATGTCAACAATGATGTGGATTGAATTTGGGCATGACTCAAATAATAGAATTTATTTGTATGCATAATGTGAGATGAGAGGAAATTTGTGTATGAATTTTATACAAGATATTACTAGTGGTATTTTACCACTCAGACAGGGTCCTAGTTTCAAAAATGCTTTGACTACTTTTGATATTAAATATTATCATTTTGAATCAAGTTGAATCATCAACCGCCATTTATATTAGGCCCCTATTGGATGCTATTGGAATCAATATAACTCAATAGTGTGGCCTAGTGAATTTGTTGATGGATTACTACTATTGAATAGAATTAACAAAAATTCAAAATTATGAAGGTCCGTGCACGGGTGAATTCCCGCAATAATTTGAGATAAATATACCACGGTAGAGGTTGTACGGTTTTGCTCCTGCAACAGAGAACAAGGTCAGAATGGGACCGGAGACTATACGGCTTATCCCCTCCGATGCCTAAGTCAATAGAAGATCAAGGGGAGAATAAGACTTTTATTGTACTAGGTTGCTCACAAATGTGTACTTGTGACTCAACTCATTGGGATATTTTACTTTCTAATATAATGACATGGCACTATAAGGATCTCATCAAGCCAGCTGAGAAGGCCTTCACGTGGGTAATTATTAGTGAGCTATATTTCTCTCAAGCCATGCCATTACTAGGCCTTGGGAGTTTGGCATCTCCTCGAGATTTGGTCCTGCGATGATTAGTCGTTCGGGACACTGAGTGCTCAATGCATCTCCCTTCAACATTTAATGATCTCAACAATACATTTTTTGAGTTGTGTTGAGCACTCATTGCATTAAAACTATACATTACGTATGCGTGCCCCTCAGAAATCCATGTTAGTCAAGGCCAGGCCTTTATCTGGATTTTCTGAAATTTGTTGTACATTATGATGTGACGTATTGGCGGAATCAATCATTCTCTACAACCAATTGCATCATGGTGGGCCCACCTAGTGTTAAATGCTCGGCCCTGGGGTGCACGTTTTGACTTTTGCATGTTTTGGCACGTCCCTCCTAGCTCTATCCTCCGGATCGTTCAATTCCCTTAGTGTATTTGTTTCCACATGTCATGCTTTGATACGAGAGTCATTTCGCATCCCATTAACTGCCCCTAGCTTCCAATTTTGCACGCATGGGCCATGTGGCCTAGGGAGATCGGAGGCTAACTTGTGCACATCGCTTCTTGTCGACTGTTACACGCACGTCTGCTGTTGATCTTTGAAAATGGCTGTTAATGTGTTGTAGCTCTCGGTAATCGATGTTATGGTTGACCTATTTGAATCGTCAAAGCTCAACAGCATCTTAGCAAGACCAACCACTCCCTTTCCTTTGAAGATATCCTAAGCATCTCCTTCAATAAGTATACTCAGTTCCATTTCATTCTCCACTTTCCTTTTCTCTTTAGTGTTCCTTTTATCCTCTATAAATGGTGAGGGCCTTGTGATGAAATGTGACAGGAAACAAAAGTAAACCTAGCACCTCAGAAGGTAAAATCTAGGACAAGTCAAGTAAACATACCTTAGCGGATTTCCAATTTTAGGGCCAAATTCTACTTCCCAGACTTTGTACAGATAATAGTGTTTAAGGTCAACCAACGTAGTGCCACCATAGGTTCCCCTAATTTGATGCCTTTCCACACCAAAATGACCATGGAGGAAGGTATTAGGTTTTTCTCTACCTCCTCTTCTGCTCAAGTTCTTGATGCATGTCTAGCTCTTCCCTGGACAATGGTGTGTCAACCTTTTTAGGATAGTGATGGTGGTCATAGCTTTGAACACTCTACTCGGCATCAAGCTAAGGGTGGATGAGATCCTTTTCTACTACGAAATTATGTGGACTGATGAGAGCATAATGTTGCATATTATACGCCTCATAATCATTCATATTAGTCATGCTAATCACTTAATTCCCTTGTTTTAGTTGAGTTTTGTATTTTATAGTGAATTTGTGTATTTGAAGTTGAATTGGTGTAAGGACATGTAATTGCATGTGTTTAAATGTCATAGAGGACTTGGAAGATGTGCTAAGAGGTCTAGGAGTGAAGCCAAAGCCACAACAACCAAAATTGAGAAAACACCCTTTCTATCAGTATAACAAAGGCTAAAAGTTGGTTCTACCAGTAAGTTAACACTTCCTACTGGTTGGTTGAAGATAGACTAGTGGAAATGATAAAAACTGGAAAAAATTAAAAGAAATATTTACATTTTGACAATAGGTGGTTCAAACCATTGATCTTCATCCCCTAGAAACTTGTTCTTATATCAACTTATCATGTCAAAAAAAAAAAAAATCTAATTCTTGTCCTATCTCCATTTTGTTTGAAGAATCAGTGACCTTACCAAATTTTTGTTGCCCATAATGTGTAAGAACATGACTGATATAGTATGACATGTCAGGAAAATCCTTACTCTGCCCATATATTATCCAACCTAAACGATCGAGTGCGCGATCAGGAATTAGTTCAGAACACTAATTATATTTCCTCATGTGAAAGGGTCTGGCACATCGATTCCACTAGTAGGAGAGCAAGACAACCAGTAGGAGGAAAACAATGAACAGTCCTATCGGTAGGTTACTATAATTTTGGTAATTAAGGCTCCTAAGGAAGGCAATCGACTGGCATATTTCGAGGGTTGTGATTGGTGGACCAATGGGAGAAAAATCAGCACGAAGTCCCTTATAAATACCAAAGTCTAGCAAGAGAGAGAGAGAGAGTGTGCTCCACTCCATCATTTGTTTTCTTTTCTTTTACCTAGGGTTTTAGATTTTCTTCTTCTTCTTCTTTTAAGTTTTCTCTATTGTTTTAATTTACAAGCTTTGTTTCAATTCAAGTATTCAATTCTTACAGGCAACTACTTTTGGTTCCTTTCTGCAAAAAAATTACATTCATTGCAATTTTAATATAAGGTATTTATTTTTCTTATAATTTCAATTCTTGAAATTTAAATTCTTCTCTTTTTGCTTTCATTTACAATGATGCTTTCTTTATTGCTTTCAATTTCAATTCAGTCATGCGTGAGTAATCGTTCACCGTTTTGATCGGTGAAGTAGTATCATCCGTAAATTGGGGGTTCTGACTCAAAACTAGGGCTTGTCTATTGTCAATTTATTTGAGT